TCGCATCAAACTTTCTACTTCTCGTGTTCCTTAAGTCTACAGGAACCTCCCCATCAACCTATACTCACTTCATCACTTCCTCAAACACAATTCTGCAGTTGAGTTCCACTCCAAATCAATAGGAAGCATAACATAATAATCAAGCATTTGAAATGGAACCAGCAGAAATTGATTCCCAAATGTTTACATTAGATCATAGCATGGATGTAATCACACAAGGCATGCAAAACTTACAGATCACAAATGAAAGAATTCTATCTTATGTTAGAGACATACAGAATCATGCTCCTCAAGCAGTTCTGCAATCTATTAGTGATCCTGCTGTCTGCATCCCTGAAAGTTTTTCTGGAGATCACTCTAAATATAGGGAATTCCTTAACTCCTGCAAATTGCTCATTTCTTTAAAACCCAGATCTTATCCTATAGAAAGATCTAAAGTCTGTTCGGTATATCATTCCTAAGGGGTGAACCTATGGCGTGGACTCACTCCTTCTTGGAAAATAATGACCCTATTTTAGATTCTCTTGACAACTTCTATGAGAGATGTCCCTCATCTACGAAGATTCTAATAAACAAGCTACAGCTGATCTTACCATCAGAACACTACAAAAAAAATAGGTATGTAGAAGATTATATTTATGAATTTAAAAGATGGGCAACAGAAACTCAATGGAATGACATCTCTTTACGAAATCAATTGCGTCTAGGGTTATCCGAAGCAGTAAAGGATGAACTCTCCAGAACTGAACTCCCTCCTACTCTCAAAACATTGATACAACTCTCTATTAGTATCGATAGAAGACCCAGAGAACGAAAGGCTGCCTTTGAAACTTGGCTTCATTTACTTGAAGGAACAAAAATCCCATAGTCGTTTATACAAACCATAAAAATCTTGAATATCTTTCTACTAACAAAACTTTATCATCCAGACAAGTAAGAATGAATCTTTCCTTTAATCGATTTAATTTTCAAATGGTGTACAGATCAGGTTCCAGGAACAAGAAAGGAGACGCTCTTTCTAGGATTCCTCACTCTTCTTCTATTGAAAACCTTCTTATATTAAAAAATTCTCCAGACACTTTCACTGGGATCGTGTCATCCCTATATGATGAAATAAGAAATCTGAAAAAAGAAGAACTTGAATTACCATCACATCATAAACTAATCAAGAAAGATGGGGTCTTCTATTTCAATAACATAATTTATATACACCCAATTCTTCGACAGAAAATTCTTAAGATGATTCACGACTCTCCTCTCGCAGGCCATCCAGGTATTAAAAAGACTCTCAAATTATCTACCAGATATTAACGAACTACCTTCTTATTGTATTCCTTAAAGCTACAGGAACTCTTTTCATCAAACTTTCTACTTCTCGTGTTCTTTAAGTCTACAGGAACCTCCCCATCGACCTATACTCTCATCACTTCCTCAAACACAATTCTGCAGTTGAGTTCCACTCCATAGGAAGCATAACAGTAATATATAATACCACCAGTATCAGAACCTTCAAGAGAGCATAACTGACTACTAATTGACAAACAATAAAAAGGACCCACCTAAAGCGAGTTGGACAATTGAAATTGAGCCAAGCAGAACCTGGACTTGAAAAACCCTCAGAGGCACAGCCAAAAGGAAGGTTCAAGCCCGGCAATCTATAAAACATCTTGTTACAAAACATCTAATAGGCAGAACAAAATCTAGCAACAATGTGGTGCTAAATTAAATATAAACAGAAAAGTATTTGATCAGAAATTTTAAATGTGCAGTACTCCTAGAGGCCAGCAGTCTATCAAGCATATACATACAATTATGAAAATGTCCGCAATGACCTAAGGAATACCTATTACTATTTAGGGCATTCGGCTGTAATTATATGAACGATACCAAAGAGGAGCAAAGAGTCACATAACAACCGAACGCTCAATGTTTAACTGAACACTATAACAGACATGTTTTACGAATCATAAGTAACGTTCGTGTGTACGAACTAAAGGCCGAACGGGTGAGCGCAATCTTATGAAAGCCAATGCATACAAACCGACAAGCAGTAAAATAATTAAACAAACTACCGAACCATACGTTCGTATGGAAGTTAACAAAAAAACTACACGAAATCTGCTGGGGCCAATTTATACAAAATACACAACCCAGCGCATCTCACTCATTCACTAAACAGTGATTTCAAGTCTCACAGAATGTAATAGTTTTTTTTTAAACACCTCACCTAGGCAAAAAATTATGGGGGTTTAGTTACGGTATATAATTATACATTGCATAAGTCTGCCACAAGATCAATGTACCCCATTCTTGGCAGGTTCTATTCTAGCAGCCTAAGGCCTGCTCTTACTTGGGAAATGCTTCTCAAGTAAGTGGATTATATAATTTTTATAAATATTTTTATTTAATTATAAATATATATTTATATCAAAATACAGTTATTATTAAATTATATATATAAATATATATATACATATATATTTATATATATATATATACAAACATTCAGTGCCGGGTGCAGTAAGCCAGGGTGAATAAATGCATAAGTATCAGGAAGGTAGCTTGCACTCATGGTCTTTCCAAGATAAAAAAGTTTATGTTTTACTGAAAATTAATTAAACAGTGGATCGACGTTTCGGTCCCCATCCAGGACTTTCATCAGGATCAAGAGATATATATATTTAAATTCTATGTGTATAATTATGTAATCTTTTCATATAATGATGTGATTTTATTATTTACAATTGAAAGTCCAGAGAATTAAATTTGCAATCCCTATATTGAACCGTGACTTCACTGAACACAAATCATGTACCTATGTGTTACAATCGACTGAAATGCATTGAAGGAATGCCGATGGGGTACCTTCATATGTGAATGTTATATGAGCATGCACTGCAAATATAAAGAATTTAAAATAAAAAAAAAGAATGTGTACAATTGCCTCTGTCCTTAAGGGGTTAATGGTCAAAGCAAATAAATAAATGAAAAGTATATACTTTATTTAGATAACATTTACACATTAAAAAGTATAATACCAAACACGTAAACCTGTTCAGATGCCATTTCAGGCTGCTCCTCGCTTGCCTCAAGCAAAACATTGAACAACCCAGTATTCAGCATCAAGAACCTGAGAACTACACTCAGGACACCTAGCTTCATCGATCAATGTTTTTTTTTGTACTCTCCAAGGCAATCCCAGCTGAACGCAAAATCGGCGCCTACATTACCCTGACAATACGAGGCGTGGAGACACTCCTCAGCGGCTTCTTGGAGGCACGCATCCCAAGTGCATTCGAACATCTTCTGCAGACATCGCAGCCCCTCAATTCAATAATGAGGCGCAAGACTCAAAAGCCGAGAGAAATCGGGACCATGCTCCGGAGGCCAGCTGCAACACAAAACCTCCCTGTGGATCCCCCACACACTGATGGCACAACAGCTCCCGCGATGGAGAACAAAGCCCAAGAGGCCTCACCCACGCCAGGTCCAATACGACTGCAAAGCTTATCCCAAAATGACAGCTTGGCCCCAACAACTAAGGGACATCTTAAAATACTCCTCTCTGACCTTTACAAAATGATGGCGGCTTACCTCACACTAATCAGGATGGAGATATCGGCCAGCATGGACCACGTTAAGGCGAGGGAAGAAGATATAATTGTCATAGTGCCGCGGGTTTATGTTGGCATGCCCACACTGAAAAACAGTGGTAATGCCGACAGAAATAACAAACACTTATCTTGCCTGCGGCAGATCAAAGCCTCACCTCCTTCAATCCCGGTTCCCGGCGTGTGCAGCATTAACACAGACGCCGGCCGCTGCGGTTCTGTTTTTAATAAAGAAATAGCCTTTGCCCATATTAAAGATGGCGCCTACGTGCGTGTGATGTCACGTCATAAACGTGCATGCACGTTTTGGGGTCAGAGGTCACATACAGCCAATTACAGCTTTAGGAGGGTTAGTTAAACCCAAATTGCCTTTTGATCAATGCCATGTCGTGGTTTCCCTTAGCTGGTTATCCGAGAGAGTATTCCTGATCGTAGTATTTCTGGTATTTGACTTTGGCTTTGTTTGACTTCCCTGATTTCTGGTATCCTTGACTTTTGGCTTTCCCTCTTCGTTGTCTCATTCTGTATGCCTGACCTCGGCAAGTATTTTGACTATTTTTGGATACATTAAGTCCAGCCATACTAAGGTCCGGTTATACGTTATCCTTAGTCCTAGGTGTGATACTATTTATGCGTGCTGGATCAATAGTAATCCTGACAGTCATGGACGTCGAGACACAGGTGTCCAACTTCAGCGGCTCAATTCAACAGCTTAATTCTTACCAGCACAACCTGACATTGCGACTGACATCCCTCGAAGACCACCAAAGCCACAATAACGTAAAGATCAGCGGAATCCTCTCCGCAGTCGCCGCCGGCGAGCTACCCCATTATATCAGGCGGATGCTAGCCTCAATTCTACCGCCCACGGTGGCAAAGAAAATTATATAGGATAAGATATTTTGGAAACAAAACACAAACACTGCCAAACCCTCTACACCTCTGCGACACAATATGTTATAATGCGATGTGTACATCATGGCAGCAATGAGGGGCAAAACACCTCTGACTTTTGGATGACTCTCACCTTTTTTCCAGAATCTCTCCAGAGCCACATTGCCATGGGGAAGAACCATGGGACCTGTCACTACCCACCTCCGCTCAGCAGGAGTGCCTTACCGGTGGGAACCACCTGGCTTTCTGATGGTGACACATAATGGAGTCACAAACACACTCTGGTCACTTCTGGAATCTCAAGGCTTTTACGAAGCATTGGGACTATAGATGCCTGATACCAACTCGTCAGGAACTAGACTACCCAGGAACTGCTTTCAGTTTCTATATACCCAATGGGCAAGACGACCCAGAACCTGTGTCTTGGTTCACAGTCCATGAAATGTTTTGTTTTTTTGTTCTTAGTTTCTCGGGTCACCAGTTTCCTTTTGTTTAAGCATATACTATAGAGCAGTGATGGCGAACCTTTTTGAGCCCGAGTGCCCAAACCGCAATACATGCCAACATTTTTTTCTCCTTAAAGTGCCAACACGGCAATTAAACCCAAATACTGAGGTTTAAGTTTAGAAAAAAACAACTCGTACTGTTGTCCGAACTAATAACTTTTGTTTTAAAAGAACACAGAGAGTTCAATGATACAAATTTTAAATAATGATATAAATAGATAAAATTAAGCTTATATTTATTAGTATCTCCAACAACTGCAATACATACACACACAGACTGCTGAATACATACACACAGTCTGCTGAATACACACACACAAGACTGATGAATACACATACAGACAGACTGCTGAGTACACACACACACAGACTGCTGAGTACACACACACACACAGACTGCTGAGTACACACACACACACAGACTGCTGAGTACACACACACACAGAGAGACTGCTGAGTACACACACACACACACACACACACAGACTGCTGAAAACACACACACAGACTGCTGAGTACACACACACTGCTGAGTACACACCTCCGCTGAGCCGCAAACACACACGAACTGCTGAGCCACTTTACACACACACACACACTGAGCCGCACACACACACACACACTGCTGAAACCACACATACGGCCAAAATGCGTGTAGCAAAGTATTACTAGTACTGTAGCCAGCCAGTATTATGTAATTTCTATGTGTGTAGAAATACTATGTGTGTGTATTATCTATATACCAAAGTACTGCGAAAGTAAAAGTACTGTATGTAAGTACAGAAGTACTATGTATTATGCCAAGAGGCAAAGTACTGCACAGGAGAGTACTGCTAGGAGGTAAAGTACACTGTGAATTGCAAAGTACTGCTAGAGGTTAAGTACATGTGTAGAGGTAAAGTACTGCACAGGAGGATAGAGTATTACACTATTTGTAGAGGTAGGTACTGTATGTGTAGAAGTAGGAATACTACTGTAGAGTAGGTACTGTGTGTGTAGGGGTAGGGGTACACTTGCTAGAGGTAGGGAGCCCTTTGCTAGGGAGGTAGGGGGTGCACTAGCACAGGGAGAGTTACTACTAGGGGTAGGGAGTTACTGGGGAGTTAGGAGTTACTGCTAGGAGTTAGGAGTTACTGCTAGGGAGGTAGGGGTTACTGCTGGGGAGGTAGGGGTACTGCTAGGGGAGGGTAGGGGTTACTGCTGGGGGAGTAGGGGGTACTGCTGGGGGGGTAGGGGTTACTGCTGGGGGGTGAGGGGTACTGCTGGGGAGGGAGTAGGGGTTACTGCTGGGGTGGGGGTACTGCTGGGGGTAGGGGGTACTGCTGGGGTTAGGGGGTATTACTGCTGGGGGTAGGGGTGCTGCTGGGGGGTAGCACTGCTGGGGGGGTAGGGGTGCTGCTGGGGGTGCTGCTGGGGTAGGGTGCTGCTGGGTACTGCTGGGGGTAGGGGGGTTACTGGCTGGGGGGCCTAGGGGTTACTGCTGGGGGGTAGGGGTTGCTGGGGGGTGGGGGTGCTGCTGGGGGGTAGGGGTTACTGCTGGGGGTGGGGTTACTGCTGGGGGGGGTAGGGGGTGCTGCTGGGGGTAGGGGTTACTGCTGGGGGGTAGGGTTACTGCTGGGGGTACTGCTGGGGGTGGGGGTACTGCTGGGGGTTAGGGGTACTGCTGGGGGGTAGGGGTGCTGCTGGGGGTAGGGGTACTGCTGGGGGTGGGGGGGTTACTGCTGTAGTTACTGCTGGGGTAGGGGTTACACTGCTGGGGGTAGGGGGTTACTGCTGGGGTGGGGTTACTGCTGCTGGGGGGGTAGGGGTTACTGCTGGGGGGGGTAGGGGTGCTGTGTCAGTATACCCCCCCTCCCTCCTTCTTACCTTTAATGAAGTAGGGGGAGGGGGGGACAGCGATCCCTGGTGGTCCGGTGGTGGTAAGCACTGCAGGGGGAGGGCTCCAGGAAGCAGCTCCCCTGTCCTCCCGCGCAATGCTGTGTGGAGCGTTGCCATGGTAACGCGCGGCAACGCTCTACACAGCATCGCGCGGGAGGACAGGGGAGCTGCTTCCTGGAGCCACTATACACATGTGGGTCATTTACTTTGCGTAACTTCAACCTCCACTATTAATGTATATAAGGAGTAAGCCTGTAGTTTCAGGATTTGGAATCTGCCAGCACGACGAATCTCACAACGATCAGGCAGTTGAGTATTTTCAGGCAGCCAAGTCTACTTCTATGCGGATAACAGCATTAGTGGGACATATATCACTTGCTGGCAATTAGTCTGTGTTTTCTTAGAATCGTTGTTTTTACTATATTGCCCTTTAGCAACCTGTAACCTGTTTAGCATTTTATTCTATTATATCGCTAGATTTGTTCCATGCACTTTTGATACATCGGTGCACACTGTGCACACTGTATCTGTTAGCTGCGTGGAACATAATAAATGCTACAACATTCAGTGTCAGACACATGTCTGTTATACAGGGAGTGCAGAATTATTAGGCAAGTTGTATTTTTGAGGATTAATTTTATTATTGAACAACAACCATGTTCTCAATGAACCCAAAAAACTCATTAATATCAAAGCTGAATATTTTTGGAAGTAGTTTTTAGTTTGTTTTTAGTTATAGCTATGTTAGGGGGATATCTGTGTGTGCAGGTGACTATTACTGTGCATAATTATTAGGCAACTTAACAAAAAACAAATATATACCCATTTTCAATTATTTATTATTACCAGTGAAACCAATATAACATCTCAACATTCACAAATATGCATTTCTGACATTCAAAAACAAAACAAAAACAAATCAGTGACCAATATAGCCACCTTTCTTTGCAAGGACACTCAAAAGCCTGCCATCCATGGATTCTGTCAGTGTTTTGATCTGTTCACCATCAACATTGCGTGCAGCAGCAACCACAGCCTCCCAGACACTGTTCAGAGGTGTACTGTTTTCCCTCCTTGTAAATCTCACATTTGATGATGGACCACAGGTTCTCAATGGGGTTCAGATCAGGTGAACAAGGAGGCCATGTCATTAGATTTTCTTCTTTTATACCCTTTCTTGCCAGCCACGCTGTGGAGTACTTGGACGCGTGTGATGGAGCATTGTCCTGCATGAATATCATGTTTTTCTTGAAGGATGCAGACTTCTTCCTGTACCACTGCTTGAAGAAGGTGTCTTCCAGGAACTGGCAGTAGGACTGGGAGTTGAGCTTGACTCCATCCTCAACCCGAAAAGGCCCCACATGCTCATCTTTGATGATACCAGCCCAAACCAGTACTCCACCTCCACCTTGCTGGCGTCTGAGTCGGACTGGAGCTCTCTGCCCTTTACCAATCCAGCCACGGGCCCATCCATCTGGCCCATCAAGACTCACTCTCATTTCATCAGTCCATAAAACCTTAGAAAAATCAGTCTTGAGATATTTCTTGGCCCAGTCTTGACGTTTCAGCTTGTGTGTCTTGTTCAGTGGTGGTCGTCTTTCAGCCTTTCTTACCTTGGCCATGTCTCTGAGTATTGCACACCTTGTGCTTTTGGGCACTCCAGTGATGTTGCAGCTCTGAAATATGGCCAAACTGGTGGCAAGTGGCATCGTGGCAGCTGCACGCTTGACTTTTCTCAGTTCATGGGCAGTTATTTTGCGCCTTGGTTTTTCCACACGCTTCTTGCGACCCTGTTGACTATTATGAATGAAACGCTTGATTGTTCGATGATCACGCTTCAGAAGCTTTGCAATTTTAAGAGTGCTGCATCCCTCTGCAAGATATCTCACTATTTTTGACTTTTCTGAGCCTGTCAAGTCCTTCTTTTGACCCATTTTGCCAAAGGAAAGGAAGTTGCCTAATAATTATGCACACCTGATATAGGGTGTTGATGTCATTAGACCACACCCCTTCTCATTACAGAGATGCACATCACCTAATATGCTTAATTGGTAGTAGGCTTTCGAGCCTATACAGCTTGGAGTAAGACAACATGCATAAAGATGATGATGTGGTCAAAATACTCATTTGCCTAATAATTCTGCACTCCCTGTACTGTTGCACTGACATTTATTGTTGCCCAGACAGTTACTGTCTCATAGGGCTCTTTTGATACCTTCTGTTATTTCATCTTTTCTTATTTATACAATTAGTCTATACTGAGCTCTGGCTGATTGTATGACTGAGGATACTAGTTTTCCACTAGGTTAGGATAATCTCCAGTGGACTAGATTTGTATTATCTATTACCACACATTGATATATATATCTGTGTGCCAGTTCAGTTTGTTTTTGTGTTTTCGTCATTATCTACATGTATGTGTCATTTCTCACTCCCTTTCCTTGTATCTATGTTCCGCATGTAGTTTGCCGTTATTGACTCATATTTTTTTGTCTGGTAGCTACAATTAGGGTTTGTCTTGTTTATTGTATGTGAGTCTTTTTTGATGTAATAAAGTATTTTTGAGATTTTAAATTAACAATCTTTATTTCATATTGTAGCGGAACGCCAATATTAAATCCACGAATTCCGCTGGTTCAGGAAGTAATCCACAGTCAAGCGCTGGAAAAAGCAAGGCAATATCCCAAATCTCCCAGTAACCGGACGAAACACAGTTCTGAGAGTCAACTGAGGTCTTTATTTTCAGCTCCACAATTTATACAATTCCCCATGCAAGGGGTTTCCTGAGTCCCCTCCCAGGGGCATTCCCAGAGGGGACTACATGGGGGACTTATTGTACAAGACATTTCTCCCATCAGGCACTGCTGCATGAGAGGGATCCTCCCACAGGAATGTACCGTTAAGTGGATTATCCCTCCGTGCAGCAGAACCGACAATTTATATTAAAATGCATAACTGTGGTAATATGAGGTCTATTTGCACGAATGGACGTTCGGTAGATAGCTGGGGTCTGAGCGCATCATTCGTGAGATTACCGCTCAGATCCCAGCTAAAACAACTGAACGCCGCACGAAAAACACATTCATCAAAATACACGTTTAAATGACCGATTGCCTTTAAGGGAACAAAGTACCGAACGGCCCGGAACTCCCGAACAGCCTGGAAGCTCAGCGGTGTTCGTGCCGTAGAGTAGCCGTTTTTAGTACCATGCGCTCAATGACCAAACACCGCTGAGGGAACAAAGGATCCAAGATGGCCGACCGCCGCATGGTCGGTAGTCGAACGGCGGCCACCTCGGAGAGCCTCTAATTACCGATTGCAACATTGTTGCAATCGGTTAACAA